AGGGAGCCCGCCTTGCTGCTCCGCGCCGCCCCGCGGAGTATCGGTACGCAAGCCGGGGGCCTGAGAGCTGAGAAGGCTGGCCATAATAGCAAACATGTGTCCGTGCAAAGGGCTGGGAAAGAAGAAACTTTGCTGTCGGCTGCTCAGAGAGGTAAGACGGGCTGCGGTCACTTGTGAGCGGGAGCACTGTGCGCTGGCATGGAGGACATGGCTGGTGCAGATCCTACAGCCCCAAAACGCAAGAATTTAAAACATCCGGCCCGTTTCTTTCCACGTCTTTTTGTTTGCAGCAGTTGATCGTTTCAGTGTATGTATTGCACAAGCAGAACAGAAATTAATAGCTTCTTCCAAACAGCTTGCTGAGTTAGTGGTTAAGTCACATCATGGGTAAGATTTCCAATGAGGAAAGGCTGAGAGAGTTGGCGTTGTTGAGCCTGGAGAAGAGAAGGCTCCACGTGTGGCCTTTCAGTGCTTAAAAGGGGCCTATTAGAAAGGTGGAGAAAGACTTTTTAGCAGGGCCTGTTGTGGTAAAACAAGGGGTAATGATTTTAAACTAAAAGAGGGGAGATTCAGGCTGGATGTGAGGAAAAATTATTTACGATGAGTGTGGTAAAATACTGGCACAGGTTGGCCAGAGAGTTGGTGGATGCACCATCCCTGGAAATATTCAAGGCCAGGCTGGATGTGGCTCTGGGCAACCTGATCCAGTTGGGGATGTCCCTGCTCATTGCAGGGAGTTGGACTAAATGACCTTTGAAAGTCCCTTCCAACCCAAAATATGCAGTGACTCTATGGAATCACCTCTCATTTTCCTTTTCAAAAGGCAAATCTATTGTACGCAGCCTATCTTGAAGCTGTTAAAACAGTTTAGCAGAATTGTTAAGCCTCTACATGTGATACCAGTTTCTTTATAGGATGGCTGTCACTTTGGTTGCTCTCACTTCAGTGAAAAGTAGTTTCTGCATAATTAGTCTCAGAAATTCTAAGTGCTTTGAAAAGATTTGGTAAAAACACCCTCAACTGGTTAGAAGACTACAGGAGAAATTGTTATTAAAGTTACCCCGGTAACTTGTACTTGACTGAAAGGCACACCTTTAACGCCTAAGCAGATGAGTAGTTTCTTTCCAGGTTCTCAAAAATATTTTGTAACAGAGAATCTCATATGACTGTTGGGTTGTTGTGGGGGTTTTTTGGCATGTATGCTGACACTTCAGAGAAAAACTAATAGATAAAAACTAGTCAGATAAACTGCAGTTAATGATCTCAAATAAAATACATATTTTGGTCTAATATTCCTCCTTTTTATTGTTCACTTTATTAAGAACTCATCAGTTATTTTCAGTGTATGCAACTTACAAGCTTACGCATTTTCAGTTTTTACTTTTCCCTTTCATTGCATAAGGATTGCAATGATTGTGAGTTTACATGGTAGCATGAATACTGCAGTGCTAAATACCTCATTACTACTTCAAAAAACCCTAGCTGTCATGTACACAAAAAATAGCAGTAAGTGCTATTCTGGGTCTTGAAAACATTTAGTAGTAAAAAAGAAAATAGTAAGCCTTAGTAGAAAGATACAATCATGCTGTGTACAAGATATGTTCCATGGTCTCTTTCTTTTAGTGATGAGGCATTATGAAGCTGTTAGTGGATTTTTTTCTTGTGCCAAAATGTTACTTGAGCTGCAGACAAATAGAAAAGCATTTATAGAAGAAAGCTATTCAAATCTTACTGTACAAGATTGTAACTCCTGCTTGTTTTCTGTCTATTTCAGTGAAAGATGCTGGAAGAGACTTTACCTATTTTATTGTGGTGCTTGTTGGAATTGGTGTTACAGGTTATTTCTAAAAATTATATTCTTTATCAGAAGATGCTTTTCATTAGCTCCATCTGCTTTTATTAGTTTTCATTCCATTTGCTGTTGTTTCTGTTACAGGTGGTTTGTTTTATGTGATTTTTAAAGAGCTATTCTCTTCTTCTAGTCCGAGTAAGATCTATGGAGATACCTTGGAGAAATGCAGATCTCACCCTGAGGTTGGTTTTTGAACCTTAGTCAGAAGTTTTTGTTTCTCAGTAGTTTACTGTCTCACTTTGAGTCAAAAGTTTGCACAAGGTATCTCACAAGTGTCTGTTCTGACACTTCACTAAGGTTTCAGTCATACTGTGAAGTACTGCATAAGTATCCAGGAATTTAAACTCTTCATGAGAAACACAGATAGCATTCCCATGGCTAACAGAAAAAGAGAGAACAGTTGTGTTATCCCACAGTCACATAAGATAGCTAGATGTAAACAAAAGTCAGTCTAAAACTGGATTCTAAAAGCCACTGCTTCAGGCAAACCAAGAAATGCACAGAATAGCTTTCAAACAAGATTGCCACAGATACCTCTGAGGATAGCCTAGAAACGAAGTAACAGGTTGACACTAGAATAAAATGAAGCCTGGTTTTAAATAAGTTTGTAGAATTAAAACTTCTCTGCAATGTTTACACAGTAAAAATCACCCTCTCTTTTTAACCAGCTAGGTTAAAACTAGATTAATTTGGTCTGGCTTTACAGATCTGGGCAAAAAAAATTGAATTTTTTAATGTTTTTTAGATAATGTGAGGGGAATGTATTTGTGTTTTAAACTTTGAAACATACTGTCTTGGAGGAGACATGAGCAAATATTTCATGCTTTATTTTTTTTTTTTCCTTCTTACACAAAATGTCAGTAAAGTGTAAAATAGTAAGAAGACAGGCTAAAATGTCATAATGGCAGAGAACAGTACAAATGGAAGATAGTGGGATTTATTTTAGACATCCAATATGTGATTGTAAAGAAAAGCACTGAAAGGCACAGGAATTTTCCTTACATTCTTCTCTTTCATTAACTCTTCCACCCTTGACACGTCAGACTTAGAAGGGGCATTTTGTTGAAAGAAAATGCATTCACAGCAGGGGGGGTGACCTGATACTGGAATATCTGTTTCAATGTGATACCTTCTGACAACTCAAACCTCTTTTCTCTTACAGATAATCGGTGTTTTTGGTGAATCTATTAAAGGTTATGGGGAGGCAACAAGAAGAGGAAGACGACAGCTTGTCAGGTGCCATTTGGTGTTTGCCCCATACAGACTCAGTTTCTGCACAGCAGAGACATTTTGCATCACATAATAGAAAGTTAGATCTAGATTAATGAACTGCATGTGACATACCCTGTTTCTTCTGAGTGAAAATGAAAGCAGTATTTTGCAGTATGTCTTGTGGAGCACCTGTCACTAAATATGGTGTACATACAATATAAAATGCCAATTCTGAGTGCTTCAAAACCAGCACAGTAAACATAGAGCTGAGCTTTCAAAAAAATAGTCTGGAGTAGTACAGAGGCCTAAGCATGTATCTGGGGAGCAGGGATCTGACTGAAGTTTACAATCTGAAACCTGCAAATAGAGTGAAATTGTTCTTTGAAAAGTTGTTCTTGAGGAGTTTTTCTCCTTTTGAAGCAGTAGTTTTTATCAGGCCAAAAAGAGCAGGAAGTACTACATTTCAGACTTTCAAGAATCCAGCTTGCTCTGTTTAAAGCTGGGCTGGGTCTGACTGTATAGGTTGTAGTCACTGCAGTGCTTACATTGTCCCAAGCTGATCTGCAATACTGGCTGCCCATTTCTTAAACTGATTTCTGGTACTTGAGGCCACATCTATACTGTATATTTAACAGAACATCTCTCACCTAAACCTTTCATCAGTGTGTTTATTATTCTCATTTTGAGGGGAATAACAGAAATAATTCTTAGAAAAGGTGACATCTCCCTGCACTATAACCCAATAGAGGCTGTGTCTTTATTGTGTCCATTGACTTGAATTTACTCAAGGAGGCTTCATACAGGATGGGACACATAAGCCCAGATACATAACTTGAACCATGAAATTGAGAATTTATTTTTTTTTCCAAAGGAAAGTGATATTTACTGGTGGAAGCTTTATCTTTTCACCAGACTGTAAAAAAGTGTTCAAAGTGGAGCTGCTAAATGAAAAGGATATGCACTAAAAGGATATGCACTAAATGTTTTAAACACCTGTCTGTAAAAGAAACTCTGTAAATAAGTAAATGTACTGTAAGCTTTCCTAGTATTTAACTTCCACCAGTTGGGAAGTTTAGTATTTTAAATAAATTTTTGAGCTGAGAACTTTGTAAGATTATAGAGTTTGTGTCTGCAGTATAAGGATGACCTTAAATGTCTCAAAAAAGGGCAATTTGTGTGTGTGTGTATGAACACCTTGAATATGAATTTACTGCAATAAAGCTCTTAATTCATCCTTGTTCTCTGTAACCCATAATGTCACCTTAAACATATTGGAAGCTTAATTCATAGTGTGTATCTGGGCATGACTGATGAAAATAAGAGCTTGGTAGTATGCAGCAGTTAATAATTTCAATAGGAAACATAAACTGGCACCAAAACTCTAGTTCGACCATTAGTTTCTGGAAGTGGTCACCTTGAACGTAACATGACCTTTATCTAATACTGAGTATAACCTAACTCCAGTCTAAATATCAGTATTTAGACTGGAGATCTGTTATCAGTGCCAAAGTTACACGACTGCAGTAGAACAAAATTATTGCCAAAATAAGTCAAGCATATAGTAAATTGTTTTGATGTGATTTAACCAACCTGATAATTGATAATTAACAAAATGTTGTTTGTGTGCTTTGGCTTGTTAACTTAGTTTTAAGTGCCTAAAAACCCTAAAATCCTGACAGTCTTGGTGATGTGGGTGTTCCTTTCTGCATGTCAGGCTCTGAATCTGGGAGTTCTTTAGAATAAATGCAGGGAAATTCCAGAATTTTCAGCCATTGGATTGCTGTTGAGTTTTGAGAGGAGGGCGGGGGTGAGGATGTTTAAGCACTTCATCTGTTAATCCTCAACTGCTAGTTAGTTCTTTTAACTCCACTACTAGTCCTTATATGCTCACAGCAGAGCTTCGGAAGAGGAGTAGAGAATGAACCCATGGTAGCATGAGGATTGCATCGGAAAATGCTTTCTCACAAAATAGTTTAGCAGCTCCTCTAAAGAAGAAGTTTAAATTTTAAGTTTAACTAGCATATAACATGTATCCTTGCTGGGTGGGCTGGGTTTTTGTTTTGCTGTTTTAGTCACATTGAATACGTAAAGGATGGACTGAAATACATGCGTTTGAAGTTCTATATTGAGGGCTCCGAATCAGGGAAGCGGGGAACAGTCCATGTGGAAGTCAAAGAGGTATGTACAATTGCTTGATAGAGCTGACAAGCTCAATCTTGAGTTTAAACTACCAAAGAGAAAAAAAAAACAGCCTGAAATTGTTTTCCTTACAGAATCCTGAGAGAGGAAGATTTGAGGTCCGCTACGTATTTGTGGACGTTGACACCTATCCTAGAAGAACCATTATCATAGAAGATAACAGATAGCCAATGATCAAAGTTGCTGTCTCACCTGATTGAGTATTGGATGATACTGGTGTCGCCAGTCTGTACATGAGTTGTTTGGTATTCTCAACTGTATCTTGCAACTTTGGGTTGTGTTACAGGATTCAGCCTCTCAAGGCCTCCGTTAAGATCTTTCATAATAACAGATACAGGATTTGAAGTGAAGCCAATGAAATACTAGTAGAGCCATCACTTATGGCAAATACTTTTGACATAAGAAAATAATGCCTCAAAATAAACAGTTTAATGATGGATAATACTTCTGCACACCCAAAAACTGAGTCTACCAAGATGTTAGATTTGGATGGGGGGTTTTTTGTCTTCCTTTGCTTGGATTTTGCACTAGCACTACAATAAAGTTGTATTTTAAATGTAGACAAACTCACTATTTTCATTCTGGATGCCTTTGTAGATAAGAAAGTAAAATGATACACAGGACATCTAGCCCAAGGGAATGTAAAGATAGGAACTGTGGAGAAACACACCCATGGCAAGTGACTAAAGATAAAGACTTCATTACCAGTGTCTTCTAAATAACAGAACAACTTAAAGTTTGCCATGCTGCTCCATAGAGTTGTAGCTGCTCAGCACTGTTCACAGTATTTCTATCAGTTAATCCAAGTCTTCTGGAAGTCAGATGAATACAGGTTTACCCAAAGTTAAAAGTTCAACTCATGACCAAATTTTTCACCTGGGTTTCTTCCTTGGTGCAGCATGGCAGGTGGCAAGCATAACCCTGTGTATTAATAATCACACTCAGTTGTGCTGATCTGCCAATCAGCATGAACCAAAAACATTCAAGCTTTAGCTTCTTATATTTAACCACTTTCTTAAAACACCAACTAATGCATTTTTCTGTAGTTATCTATCACATTACCATCTTTTTAGGTCACTCGTCAATTTTCTCTGCATTAAACATACACTGATGTCCAGTTTTGAGCCCTTACTATGAGTTCATCTAGTAGTATATTTGGACTGTTAAAAAGTTCATACAATATTCGCTCATACAATGCCACAAATACTATATGTAGACCTTCAGTAATACTGTTCTGGTTTTAAGCCATCCTGTTGATCTGTCTCCCAGTAATCTTAATTGCATAATCATAACAACTAAACATGATACTTTGTTACACCTGGATAGCTGCCTTAATCACTACAACCTTGAGTTCAGTCAGATCCTCATAAAATTTGAAGTATTCAGTGAAGATGAATCACTCATTCATCACAGTCATGTGGGCATTATAGGAGAGCAGCCACCAATGTCAATCTGTGTTACACTGCAAGGCATTTTTGAGTTTCCACACTGTACACAATGCAACTGACCTCTACTGTGCAGGCCTAAGGGATTTTTACAAAACTTGGAACATCAGTTGAGATCGACCAAAGTTATTTCATATCCGTTCGTTTCAACAGAGCTACAGATTTGTCTACTTGCTTTCATCTTTCAATGGATGCTTGTCAAGACTAACAAGCCCACTATTTTACATATAATCAAAAGTGATGGAGTTCCCAGTTGGTATCTCCCTAGTGTAAGTATAAGAAATTGTTCTGGTTCTTGGTATCACCACCATTAAGTAACTAACTTCGATAAACTTTTGTTTTTGCCTACAGTTGCTGACATCATTAATGTCCATCTAGAGAAGTGTCTTTAAATAACGAAAGCAATTGATTCCCATTGTTCTTCATGTTATTTTCTTGAAAGCAGTAGAGTTGATAACACCTTTTGACTTACTACTCTTCCCAATTCTTAGCATTTCACTTGCCAAAACTTTTGATTCACAAGACATTTTCAAACTAACCTAGTTGATTTATAACCACATAAAAAAAAGAAAGAAGAAAATAATGAAGGCCCTCAACGGGTTGCAGTGAAAGTGACAGATAGCATTACACACCAGATTTATCTGCCATCGCTTACGTTCGCTTGTTACAAGCGTCTGTCATACTGTGGTGGTTACAGAGAACCATCTCTGCAAGAGTTTTGTCATGAATGCAAGGCAGAGCATGATTGTCAGAGCACATCAGAAATACTGCCACCTATGTAAGTATATAATCTAAGATCACTAGCCTTAAGCCCATACTATACCTTGATAAAAATGTAATCGTTCTTCACCTTTTACAAAGCAAGACTACATAAAAATACACAGTTTAAACTAGAAAATATAATACTATATTTGCTTTGCCTTTATGAGTTTCTACCATATCAAACTGCCTGAAAGCCACTGTAAACCTCCATGTCAACCACATGTCAACAACAACAGGCTAGCTTATGGAAAGGTAGGTAACTGGAAGGTTCAGCTTTCCTTTTCAGTAAACACAGGCAGTAAGTGTTTCAGTGTTTTCTTCTTGAAGCTCTTACCTCTTTTTCTCTGAAAAGCACAAAATTACAGCATATGCAAGTTACTTTCTGATGTGAAACTGTCATGTTAGTAAAGCTCTGGAAAAAAAATCACTGGCAGGAAGTCAGAGCTCAAACAATAATGTTTTCATGGAAATTAAACACATTTTCCAGAGTTAAGTTTTGATGGTTGCAGGATTAATAAAAATGCATATGCTCAAAACCCACTTCTCCCTTAAGAAATTAAAATATTTCACTCACCAGTGAAATGCTGTTTTTCCAGAAACATTGTGTTGCAGACTACTCAAAATGTACTAGAAGTTGGTGTGTAACTTTGTCTTAACTTTGGTGTCTCTGCCTTCATTTTTGTGGATGCCTAAAATTCTGGTTATAGTATAGGCAGCAAACATCCTTTGAGCTGGTTTGTGAGAATAATAATGTTACTCTATCAATCATCTACATGACCTCTGAGTCTAGGTCTTTGTGTATACTTGCTGTATTGTGACAGAAAGAAATAGACCTTCAGGAAATTAATTTTGTGAAAATGTTAAAATATAAAAAATGACTACTCTTTTACTAAGCTTCAGTAAACAGAAGATCTCACTAAGGAAATGGAATTCTAGAGTGGAAATGAAAAATGTTGTGCATGACTGACTGAGTTTAAAAATTACCTTGATACATAAATAATTCCAGCACAGAAATCAAGTTTCAACAATCGATTTAGGTAATGGAGTCATGATCTTGGGAATGGTTGCAAATAAATGCATGTCCGATACAGCAAACTTCAACAAACTTACTTAAGAAGCAGAGGAGACAGGAATGTAAGATAATTATTGTGTCACATGGCAGCTGCAGAAATAAAAAGACAAAGAAGATGTGCTGGGGGTTTTCACAAATCATTTCGATTCACTTTGTTCTCAGCGTTATGACACTACCACAAGGGATGCCATCCATTCTAATACTCATGGGATTATTCAAACGTGTAAATGATCAGCCACCTAGTTTCAAGGAGCAAACTTAAAGCTTAAAGATAACAGGGCTTATAACTGGCCCCTGTATATGGGTTTGTGAAGTCTGCTTGAAGATTTGGAGTACAGTTGGTACTGGAAAAACAGAAATAAGAAAGCAAAAAGATCTGCCCCCAACCTCTTTTTTTGGGGGGGGGGTGGGGAGGGAGGCAGAAAGGCTTAGCCACTAGAGAGGTGTTCACTTGTTCAGAGTAGAGAATAATAGAACTCCAGTGCAAATTCTCCTTAGGCAGCTGGGAAGTCATTATGATACAATATACCAAGAATCATGAAACAATGATTCCAACCTGTACTGTAAATGATTGAACAGTGGAAGTATTTGATAGTTTTTCTTAGTAAATTCTTAGGGCTTTTTTTATTCTGCATGTGTTACTTAAAATATTCTGTAGGAATTCTAGAATAATGTGAATTAATACCATCCTGTATTCAGGTTCAGTAGATTTTCTTAATAATGATACAGAGTTAAAAGTTGAAAATGTAGCAAAGATATTTTGCAAGTAAAAAGAAAGAAATAGGAAAAAAAAAATTTAAAAGTTTGTTTAGAAGTCTGTGGTTGTCCTGGGAGGAATACATATGGTTCCTTTCATCTCCTGTAGGTCATCAAGGAACATTTGTAACTCAACAAATAAAAGAAATAAACACAAGTACCTGTTTCAGTTTGCCTCTCAGTGTGCACTATCAAACTGCATTTCATTTTAAATAGCCACATAAAAAGTAATACAAGTTGTGGAAAAAACATAGTAAATAAGCTTATAATTATCAACATAAAGGAGATGACACAGTACATCTAAAAAGTATCAGGGTTTTTAAACTAATAGAAAGTGTCAGGTTTAGTTGTTGTATATGGCAACTACGAATATTTACTTGCCTATATAAAAGTTTGCTGCGTTAGAAATCTTGGGGTTTGGGATGAAGATGGAGATCACTTGCCAGTTACAGTTGCAGGCAAAATAGACTTCAAAGTTAACACAGTTTATTGCCTGCCGCTGTGCAGCAGCACGGGCAACCAGCTGCAGTGGCGGAATACCCAGGGGAGCTGGCGGCGGTGTACATGATCTTTACTTCCAGATCATGTACATGTGCCTGCCTCCGCATTTTAAAACCTCCCCGTACTGTGCTGAGAAACATTTCCAGGATAATCATGTTTATCCAATCTCCATTTAATCACGATTCCCCTTTATCTGAATCACAATTATGTTCTCTAGCATGAGCTGCCTTCTTATATTACTCCCCACAATTAACTCTATTAACCTTCATTTATCCAAACGTGTTTTCACTTACAGGAACAGGGTTGCTTTACAATTCCAATCGCAATTCTTTTTTTCTTTTTTTTTTTCCCCACCAGAAACAATGATCTCAGCCATAGCAGTGCCTTGTTACAGTTACACACATAACGTGGCTGTATTCCCTGACAACTGGTTTGCTTCATTAGTGCTACAACATCCATAAAGGGGCTGGAAATGAACTGCTGTCTGGGACCGTGCATTACCCTGGGTTTAATAGCATGAAGCCACATCCTGAAGGCAGAGTCCAGATTTGCAGAATGCCGTCAGCTGCGTTTTGGTGTAATAGCTGGTGAGATCCAAGCAGCCTCTCTTCCTCCTTGGGCTGTAAAGCCA